AAAAATGCAGGTAAGCATAAATTTCTCCTTGTCAATCCTCTGTATTTACATGGCGCAACACACCGTTTCGCTGCTTCTCTAGTGGCATAGGGAACCGCTTAAAAAGGTCACGGTTCCATGGTATTTTTAGACCTGCAGTGCAGGAGCGTAAAACAACACTACTTTATTGGGTCGAATATAAATGGAATGAGTTACATTCTTTAGTGTTCGAACATGTTTTTGCTTGACCCAACAGTTTTGCTGTTTTGCGCCCATGGACTATTGTTGCTAAAATATCACGGTGCTAGAGAGAGCATAAACGTCCTTGAAGAAGCAAGGGGACGGTGATTTGCCGCGAACATCCGGAGGATGGACAAAGAGAAACAAGAGACATTTATTATATCATTTACAAAAAAGCACATAATAAATATCAACTTACGTAAAGTACGCAATGTTGCAATCAGCATTAAAAGAACGATCAGGAGTATTACAGTACGGCCATCGTTCTTGTTCAGCCTCATCGTGCTGGATGGTAAAACTTCTAATGTCACTGCAAGGATATTCCGACATGTTGAAAGAACACTGCAGCTGAAAAAGCTCCTCCGACGGAAATCCTCAAAAACTGACATAATATGAAGGTTAAAAATAAATTAATATAAGCACGAAACAAGTGAAGGAGGTAGGATTTAACAGAAATGATTCAGCTTATGCTACATTTTAAATTATTGTGACTCTAACATAGTTACTTTCGTCTCAAGTTAACTAGCACAAAAAATAAACGAATTTCCATACAATCGATTTATAGAGCGAAGTGATACATCTCCTTGGTCATAGACGTTCACATCATCCTTAAAATAGGCTAAGTTCCATGATATTTCTGGCATATGAGGGGTATCCATGAATTTCACATAAATTTCACTGGCTAGAATAATGTGTATATTTCGGTATATTGTTTGCAGATCTAAACTGTGCAGTGAACATGCAAAGAATCTTAAATTAAATCTCAAGTAATTTTCAAAAATGCTTTTGTCCTGAACGCAAATACAGTATTGCATACTGAACCTGTTGACGTTGGTATATCGAAATAGTGTCGAATATGTAATTTTAAAATCATCTTCGTGAATAGCCACGGAGAGTTTAATTTTACATCTAAATTAAATTTATGACTTACGTCCTCTGTTAATTTTCAATCAGCCCTCAGAGAGGTTAAGGTGAACTGCCGTCGCAAGGCACACGCATCAGGTAGTCTGATCATAAGTCTCACAAGGTCCGGTATGACCATATCATAAACATAAACACTATGGTGAAGGCATAATTCGCAGATACCCGACTCGTTATCTCTCGGTTTCTGAAGCATAGTGCAGTGAAATAAGCAATTAATTTAAAAAAATTTACCCCAGCGGTTGCGGGTCTTTTCCCTCTTTGTGTTGCATAGTCAGGCGACGGATATATCACAGTAGGTATAGAAATGAGAAGTCTGCCGCTTGCAGGCGACCCTGTTTTGTTAGCCTCTATGAAAACTGATCTCCAGCATGCTTTGAAAAAGTTCGCTGCATTGAGTGCGACGTGGCGACATGCATTCATGCACGTGCTTAAAACCAAAGGAACCTTGTCTTTCTTAATCCAGTACCTTCTGCGTTCTGTAGATAAACGAAGGAGCCATATAACACGTGGAGAAGTTCACTAATTCGGAGTCATGTTTACTCGTGATTGAAAATCGGAGGAAAATATCTAATGGTGAATCGGGATAGCCAACGGCATTCATCGTGTCATCGTGAACCCTTCCAAACCATTGTGACTAAAGCATTATGAGTCTGAAGACTAAACTCTCTTAATTCAAATTGATCTTAGACCAAATGCTAACCTATGGCCATGAGTCATGGGCCATGACTAAAAAAACTGCGGTCTCAGATAAAAGCAGCAGAAGGATTTCTCAGACAAATCGCTGGGCTCACATTTCTGGACATGAACCGGAGTTCAGATATCCGCAAGAACTTAGGTTAACGCCGCCGCTTCTTCAGAATGAGAAGTCACAGCCGCGATGGACCGGACATATTCTACGAATGGTTTCAGAAAAGAAGGCGAAACAGCTACTACCTTACCAACCGACTGACCGATGAACCCAGAGACGTCAAAGAACAGCCTGGGACAAGTGTCTCAAAGAACTCTGTTCCAGATTAGGGTTATCTTCTATCGAAGCTCAAACGCTGGCAGAAGGTCAGGAACGTTGGAGAGACCTCCTGACCTCTGGCCTCCACGATTAGAAGTATTAACCTGAATAACTGATTGACACTTTGTTTTTATGATGTTAAATCCAACATTTATAAGGTTTAAAATTGCTAAGCATCCTGTCTTTGATTATACACCTTCTGTGCAAGAGAAGTATCTCCTAGTTTTATTACACTAGCAAGATCGCTGCATTAATATCAGGTTGCTAAAACGTACCCAATCCTGAAACAGGTGTCAAAACTTTACTGGTGATGTTGGTAAGCAGAAAGTTGACGAAGCTTAGTCGGTAGAGGCAGGACCGACGAGGAGGAAATGTGCAGTCGCCCGAGGTAAACGCACGGTAGAGAGCCATCGAAGCGTTGTAAAACAATTTAAACAGCGTGCTGTACCACTCGTAGAAGATAACCGCCTGGTCAGTGGTTTCCAAGAAGCGTATCACCAAGTGCAGCTCCTTCACCTGCCGAAAGAATCCTGTCCTTATTAGCTCAGAAACCAGGTTCACCTGTGACAGTGGTTGCCAACAGGTCGTGCAGTCGATCTTCACATAATCGATTACATTCTTTTGGTCGTCAATCACCGACAAGAACTCGCTTAGCATCATGTACTTATCTCCTGCGTAAAGATCATCTGTGGTAGCGATGAGTGTACGCGGTATGTGCTTTATTCGACGACCATATTTCAAATGCCGATCCACACTGGCTGGAGCAACAATCACACCGGTTACTTCACCCCCGTGAAAGGAAAACAGTGCATCTTCAAACAACAGCTCGTCGAAGTTGCTAGACACAAATCATAACCCAGTCATTTTAACTTTACAACAAAACACCCACTTGGTCAAACTGACGAACTTGCGCATCTCAGTTTTTATGCCTGTACCAGAAACCTCCTCGTCGCCACACACAGCGATTCCGAACGACTTTGCGGGCCAGCTTCTTACATTCACACACTGATACTGTAAGTGTGCAAGAAGTTCGTTCCATCTGAAAAATGTTCAGGTAACAATTTAAAATTAAAACCAATGTCAATAATGGCAAGTTAACGAAAAAACAGCAAACCTAAACGATGGTCACTCGATACTCAACTTCTACGATTCTCATCGAGGCAGATGGCCACGAGGAGAAAGCCACATGGTGAGCCTTATGGCTAACAGTCACAACCAGTGCTCTCGTCAACGAAGAGCCAGTAATCTTAAATTCTGAAGCTGTGCCGGTGGAAGCTATTCTGCACAGGTAATGACTCGATAACCAACGCTGAGGCCAATGTTAATGTTTCGATACAACCTAACGTGGTAGACAGTCATCCAAAAGTAGCCTGTGTAGCAGTGGCATAGGTTGTAACAGGATAAAGATTCGGCCTAGGCGCAGGTGTCAGCAACTAATCCGCCGAGATAAAATGCATCCTTCGTGAATGAAGTAGAAGGAAGTCGGAACGATGTGTGAACTGCAGAATCCATCATTCTGAGGAACATAATTCACATGTTCGAACAGATACGGAAAAGTGGAAAGATCCGACTGCAACGGATCTTAGCGATTTTAACCATAATGGGGCAAAGTTGTTGCGGTGTTTGCAAATAATGCATATTATCCTTATTATCTCCTTCTCTGAGCATTCAAACATACATAAGGATACGTGGCATAGGGAAGCTTTCATATAATCATCGATTTCATAATCGTATATCTGACCTGCAATGCTAATAATGGATGTACGGGTTAAATGAGACGCACAGCTGTCAACTGATCATCACCTTGATGCTGGAACCCTCCATTGTAAACGATGGAATTGTACCATGCGAAGACCTGACCAAGGTTCAAGGCAAAGTAACAACCAGGGAGTCAAATAGGAAACATTATCTCGGGCGGAGAGGAGGGAAAAACTGGCAAACAACATTACACGATGGTTTGAACATGTTCCAGAAATGTCGACTAACACAGAAATCGAGTTGAAGCTTACCAAATCTGGTTTTCTTGATGCTCCTCCCAGACGCTGCGTTTTAAACGTACTGGACTGCTATTAAGAGGTCAAAAACAGACTTCCAGGTGTACATCAGAGGTTCAACTGGCTGTCAGAGACAAGAGGCTGAATTCAAGAGATGGCATGGAAGCAAAAAGCCTTCAACTCGAATGCGATACGAAGAAAAGCGCAAGGCTGCATTGAAAACAGTGGCTAAAGCAAAACTTTATTTCTAATTCCATGAGATGCTGTTGTCCAATTTCCGTATGGCAAACAAGGTATGGTATTCTGGCATATCATACGCCAGCAACGAGGTGGGAGGAAGTGCAGTCTTAGATTCTTGAAGGACAGGCCTGGACACCCTCTTACCGAGGGCAAAGACATTCAACAGCGATGGAGAGAGTACTTTGAAGAACTTCATAATTTTGAGCAACCGCAGGAACACTTTCCTGTAGAGTAGTAGGAAATGAATGTTCGTGCTTCTGTAGAAATCGACTAGACACTGGCACAGGATCGGGAACATTAGAGATATTGTATGACGCATCTGCCCCAGCGATCGGAAAGGATAAGCGATCATGAAACGAATGATTAAGCTTGTACGTTACGGTGCAGAACGGTAATCCATTCATGCCGACATGGATTGAAATTACCAATCACAGGAGAAGGGTGCTCCATTAATTAAACCTCCGGACCTCCGTCATGATGAAGGCTACGATCAAGAACTTAATATTACCACACAGTACGAAAGAGATTTTCTTAAACATAAAAACCCATATTAAGATCCCAAAACGGTTCATTGGCGAAGCAATGATGACTGAGGGTTAACAGACCCTTTTATGTTTTCCTATGATAGCCCTGCCTAGGACTAAAACTCTCGAACAACAAAAGTTGATTGAACTTGGTCATCTTATGTCTCAAAACAAAGCAGATAACAGTTTTCATTGCATTGTATGCCCTCTGATCTCTCGACAGAGCTCACCGGAGATGTGTGGAGGTGGTGAGGTGGATATTGGTGTGGTCGTCTGTGAAAAAAACAACAGAAATCCTCAATTAACTAAACCAATAACAACCGACCATTCATAGTGCATAGACTTCACATCTCATCCATATCTATCAATTAAAATATGAGTGATATTACCTCATACCGTAACAGCAAATTCTGGCATTTGAATTAAACCGTTTTAGCCAACTTGTCTCACTATTCGATACTCACCGATAAAACTCCACTTCTAACGACTTGCACGGCGGAGGAATCTTATAATTGAAGCTTTCATCGGCAGTTAAGTCGATGTAATTAACCTTTTTCCAAATCGACCATAGAAGAACCACACAGGAGAGGTGCAACACAACCAATCGCACCTGTTGAAATCTTGGCATCGATTGCGGAATTTAAGAAAACGATGCCTCTCTAGATTAGGAATTTTGCAGCAGAAAATTTTGAGACATAGTATCACCGATGTCACGACCGCTTCAATTCAGAAAACTGGAAACACCTCGCGATCGGCTTCGAATTTGTCATGGTTAGAAAACGGATCACATATGTAACTAGCTTGCGGTGCTACCACCATTAAAATCATAATGCTTATACTGTAATCATTAGGTTTGTAGAAAATACTGATATTGAAACGGAAACATATTTAAAATTTGTCCGGAAAATATTCATTTGTCTCATTGAATAATCGCTCATATTAAAGTAGAAGATACCACTACCTGCTGTAAGTCATATCATATTAAGAATCAATTATATGTCAGTCAAGGCACTGCTAAACAGTTGAAAATCAGAATAAAATACTATGAATTCTTATGAATGTCGCCACCAATCGTATTCAAGCAAAGAACGCGCCCACAATACTTGAATAAGTTCACCATTAAAGATTTTTGTAGTACTTTTGGGAAGGAGTGGAAAGTATTTGCCATAAAAAATTCGTTCCATCAATGCACCTCTTTTAACTAAAGCTGATGTGAATGAGCTTAAACAATTGTAAATCTAGGGTAACTCTGCCTTTGCCGGTTCCAAGCCTGCATGAGAAGAGAGGGGGTTTGGAGACCATGGCAAAGTCTTCACAAAGTTTAGTCACCTGCTTCTCATAACGTTGCCGTCATCGAGTGTTGCAATCATTCCATCGCTGTTCGGGCTACTTAGGAGCGCCCAGGCAGTTGGGGAACTGAGGCACGCTGCGAAAAGAGGTAATCGGTACCTCCTCATCGATTTCTGGCAGCCATGTAGGTAGCAGAACAACAATTGCTGCCGAAGATCGACGAAGCGACGATGAATACAGCAATCAGCAAATATTTGCTACCCGTTCTGAACGGAGACAGAGAGCGCAATGTCATTATAGGACGTCAGAAAAGGCTTAACAAAAATGGCACTGCCAGTGGGAGTAGACAGTCGGAAATTGGAACGCAATCTCACTCAGAACGAAAGAACAGGAGCTAGTTGAGGACGCTGCAAGGTACCAACTCGATACAATTAGGACTTTGTCACCGAAGCTTTTAAGCCCAGGACTTTTGAACCTCAGCAAGTGAAAGTCATTTT